GACTGTGTTGCAGTGACTCACTGGGGCCAGTACATCAAGAACCGTCTAATCAAGAGAGATCATCGTGTACGTCAGCTCCGACTCAGTTCCATTTTACTTGTCACTCTAACCATGCTAACATCAAAAAAGCTACGTAATCATTATCAGGCAAATGAAGAATCTGTACTGCATGTACTGCAGTGCAAGGATTAGTAAATAACTGTTGTTGATTATTTTGACAGCTAGGGCCAGTCCATAATAGCATACAGTAGGAGTTGTATTACCTATTGGTTCATGATCAGTAGAAGGCATGGTGAAATGGCATGCCAAGTTGCCAACCCAACCCACAGCATTTGCCATTAGCATTAGACTAGCCAGCTACGTAATGTAGGTAAACCGAGTGAGCACTAGGATCGGGAAAGGTGCAGTATACTAGTAGTATGAAACAAGCAAAAACACAATGCAGAACATTTGACTGATACTAAGTCTTGATAGATCGGTGTATTTCGAGCTTCGCTCAGGAGCTAGAACCTAGCCTACTGTAGGTTTGGAGCACTTAGAGAACCCGGAGCCGAGCCTGGAGAAAGAAGCACCGTGGTTGTATGCATGGTGATCGTGCTGTATGTGCTGTGAACCTGGCCGTGTACTACTGAGCCCGACAATGGAACGGCAATATTGGTTTAGTTTAGTGGCGGTTGCCATTAGCGTGGCGATGCTCGCACCTAGTCATTGTCCAGTTGTGGCACAGCATTCGGGAGGTTCCAGCTCTGTGCTGTTCCCGTCCTCGGCAGAGATTCCGGGAGAGGGACCTGTCGCCGAATACTATCGCAGGCGGAATCTACAGTGGGTGCCAGCCCTGAACCATTGGACCACGGTGCTAAATGAGTGGGAATCCGGTGTGTACAACGCTACTTGCCAGCCTGTTCCGAACTTCACCTCGACTACAAGCAGCTATCCTATGGATCCAAGTGCAGCCAGCAGCACCATGGCTGACCCGACGAACAGCCAGTCCGACGCACAACTCCTTGCAGACTATGAACGCCAATTGGCCGCCTGGGACGCTGAGCTGCTCACGTATGATAATCGCATGAATCAATGGCAGACAGAGATGCAACGACTGGTCTGCAGTTGAGTCGACCACAAGAACATGAGGCTGGCAGCTAGCTGCAGAGAAAGAAAGCTGCCAATCGACAGAGATGCAACGACTGGTCTGCAGTTGAGTCGACCACAAGAACATGAGGCTGGCAGCTAGCTGCAGAGAAAGAAAGCTGCCAATCGGATTCGTGGAGATCGAGTGTGCCAGGGCGCAGCTCACAGCTGAGTTCCGCCCTGCAGCATGGTGCACTGAGGAGGGTGTTTATTGCACCGTTATAATTATACAGTCATGTACTATGTGCATGTTGCTCCTATTAGTTTTCAGTATGGGTGATTACCATGAATAATGGCAAGGCACAGACTGCAATGTGATCCAGACGGCTGAGTGAACCTGAGCCAACCGAGGAGACGTTCGTAGCGGAGAATGGAGATGAACAGGTGATGTCAGTTGAGCACAGCCACCAGGCCGGGGAAGAAAGTATCATGGCAGTAGCCTGAGTGTGATCAGTTACTTACTGGTCCAATTTACATGGAGTCGCACATGACGGAAAATGCTCTTCACTCACGGTAGACGCGAGTCGAGCGAGCTGTGACTCCCGGTGCCGAAAGGCGAGCTCACGCCCCTACATGTCTACTTCCCCTGTCTAATCCCGAATAGACGAACAAAGAAGTATAGAGCCGATTGCCCGGAATTAAAAAATTTAATAAAACAAATTGATAGAATCGAACTAGTCATTCTGATCTGGGATGCTACATGTACACTGCGTGACACATGAGGCTGCATCCCCATGCATACACGCTGTGCTTGACAATGCATCACTGCCATGGCATTGTAACAGTGGTCACAGCACTGAGGTGAAGTCATGGCTGGATACTCTGCAGTTCAACATAGCATGGGAGTAATGAATGAGGTCAGTGTCCACTATTCACTGCTGATTCTGAAACTCAGTGAAATACCATAATCACTTCCTGACTTGATTATGAATCTTATTTTGGTAATATCCCGGGCGAGACTGAATTAGAGGTTTCACATGCTCAAGAGTGCTGTACTTTATAAAGCATTCTGAAGTTTAACAGCAATTTAAATACATTTCGTTCTCTCAATCTTTAGTCTGATGCGAGTGCCGTGTGTATGGGTAATATCACATGGTTAGGTACATGGTTAGGTACATTACCATGTGTATAGGAAATGTTGCACAATATTAATGTTCCATTACGCGCAACTGTGTTATTATTATTATTATTTGGAAAGGATTGGGACACTTCCCCGACTGATCCTTTGAATTATTATTATTAGTATTATTAACTGGTTTGAGGGAAAGAGACAAACGGGAAAAGTCTGAAGAAAAAATCGACTGTCACCACCAGGACTCATATTATTATTATTATTATTGCGAGGGTCCCTGGTTCGAGTCCTGGTGGTGACAGTCAATTTTTTCTTCAGACTTTTCCCGTTTGTCTCTTTCCCTCAAAACCAGTTAATATTATTATTATTATTATTATTATAGGAAATGTGCATGGGCAATGTGGCAGGGATAGGTGCATTGCAGTGTGATTTGTTCTATCAGTACGTGCATGGCGTGATGTCTGTGTGTTGAGATCGAGATGATGTGCGAAGGAGTGAAGTGAAGGACTGAATAGGCGAGTGAGTGAGTGAGTGGTGCAGAAGAGGAAGGAGAATGTTTTGCAACAATGAGCCCCTGTTTGAGCTATGATGAGCAATTGTATGTGCGCACAGGCGACAGTTTACAAACAGAAATTGCGGCAATACACATGCAAACACATAGAAGTGTTGGTATGGGGTCCTCACTTAGCAAACAGCAGACGGAGCATTTTTCCTGTTTGGCAAAGCAGTTGCTGTTTTTCTATGGCATGAGGATATAATAAATATTATGCAAAAGAAGAAGAGGTTGGTGCGACTTTTCAAAATGTGTTCTAAATGATGGTAAATGCAATAAACTTTGGCTTGCAGGACAGTTGGAAATCCTTCCGCTTTCATGCAGGATTCGAACCAGGTACCCTACGCCTGCCTAGTGCAATAAACTAGATATTATCATACAGAGTTGCAGAATAATCCATCTCCGAGCCCGGTCTAGTGTCTACAAGTCATCCAGGGAAGAGTTGAACTTCTTGGTGCACAATGTGGTGCTGCCATCAGCCCAGTGAATAGAGCAGCTACCTGCTCTTAAGTCCAGAGTCACGTTAGTGCCGCTTGCAAACTGACGTTCGTAATGCATGCCCGAATCGGTCACACTGGCTTCGCCCAGTGGCTTACCAAGAGGCTTGGCAAAGTCGTCGCTCCAGCCCATACCATAGCACCATGATGGAGCCGTTCCATCGCAGAATGGATGGTATCCTGAACCCGGGTTAGTGCTGAACGCAAAGTAGCTCTTCTCGTAAGCTCCAATCAGGAATGTTGCCAGAGATGCGTTGACATGGTCGTTTTTCTCGCCAAAGTTGGTCTGTGCGTGAGCTTCAGCTATCATTCCAGCTTGCTTGGTTCTGTTTAACCAGCTGAGAGACTTAAGGTCCGGCGCAAAGGTGTATATTTGGCTCAGCTGTATGTTGTACTCTGGTGTTGCATCTACAGCACCCACTATAACCCGGGGCCCTGTGAGTTTCTGGGTGCGACTTATGGCTGCTACACGCCCCGCCGACATCTTCTGTTCATTGGGTTTTGTATTGAGACAGGTGCCGGCCACATCGATAGAGCAGCCATCAACCTGAGAACCATTCGTGATACCAGGGCAGAAACTAGCCCAACCGTTCTGCACAGCCGGGTTTCGCTGGTCCCAGTCGTACCCGTGATACTCTGGCAACATGTGCCCACCACCGCTGGGACAAAGCGTCCCATCTTCGTTTGTCAATCGCCAGTCTGGGTGGTCGTGAAAAGCCTCCGCACACCAACGATAATAACTCAAGCCAGCCACAGAGTTGATGTACACCAGCACTGTAATATTTGGATTTAGAGACTTTAACTCCATGGCGGCAGATTTGAAGTAGTCTTCCATGGCCTGCTCTCCAGTTAGAGAATAATATCCTTGACAATGCTCCAATGTAATCAATGAGTAATGGGAGGCGAGAAACTTGAGACGCTGAGCAGGAAATGAGCTGCTGAGTGTGGCATTGGGGTTGCACAACTGTTGATATAGTGGCACAGTGTCCCAGGAAAACTGAAGTCGATCTTTTGCAGGTAGCTGCTGTGATGGAACTGACTCCCTTGTCGCCTGGACTTGCTCTTGTTTCGCTTTGTTCACGGACTTGACTGGTCCATGTGCCTTGTTGCTTTGGCGGTGATGTGACTCTTGTCTGTGAAGGAGGTCTTCACCATTGCTTCCTGTCTCTTCAGCAGCGTCTCGTCCGTGGTGAATGAATCTGTCCGCTAGCGACTCACCATCATCTCTCCCGCTTGTACCAGTATCATGTGCGGTCCAGCTCGCAGTTTTGCGGAAAGTGGCTTCCTCGGACGGGCGGTGAAACACGACTGCACTGGCAGCTACCACTACAAGACAACTTGCCAGCAGCAACTGCGAAAACGCCATGATCGTTATCTGCATTGTGGACAACGACTTTCACTGAACTACATTCACCAATGAATAGCATTTCTGTGATTTCCAAAAATTAATAGAAAACCGGAGTAACAATGTATGTGGTCATGTGGCCTAGCGCCTCCCTACAATTATTTTTGTAAGTGATAGGAAGAGTAGATATAAGCAATGCCATGTTTCTACTCTGAGTCTTGGTGATACTACCGGTATCTACATACACGACACCGGTTCACATCACACCGGCACCAGGTGACTTGTGTTGCCACTGATCCGGGCCGGGCCGGGAGTCGTGGATGCCCGGGCTTTTACGACTCCCTGGATCACGGTATGTACCGGGGTACATGTGTCAAGAAGTTTTTTTTAATATTTCTTCACAACTCATAAGAACTGAAGGGGAGCTCACCTATTATTGTAGTGCTGACTTGTTGCTTGGATTTGTTTGCTCACGGAATACCATGGCGTCACCTGAACGAAAGCTCAAGGTGCGTGGCGTTTCCTTATCAGAATGTTGGTCTACAAGCGTTGGAATACAATATTCATGACATTGTATTGGGATTTGAAAATAACTCCCTATGCTATTTGAAAATCGGCTATTTGGACAGAAGAAACACTAGAGTATAGCAACAATGTTTTGGACAGCTCATTATTGCATGTTGGTGATTGCATGAGTGAACGTCCAAAAGAAGAAACACTGTGCAGCAGGAAAAACAAGTTTCTAGTTTCGAACTCTTTGCAAAAGACATTCTATGCTAGCTCTGCACTGTACGGCAGAGCTTTGTGCATTATGTACCAACTCTTCATTCCCAGTCAACGACCCGTGGTGGCACTAGTAAAAAGATCAAGTTGTGGCTGTTCTCTTCTCGCCGTTTGTTCAAATATTTCAAATACCGGTATTTAACTACATAGTAGTTGCCGAAGAGACAATTATTTAAATTATAGCTTTGGATCGCAGTCATGACACATACCAAGAGTAGATAAACCAGAGTGTGCAGCTCCGCATCTGTGCCGCACAAAACCGACCCCACGGCGAAGATTTTTTGTTTAGGTCATGAATCATAGAAAACCCATCATACCGTGGGTTCAGTGCTCAATCACCGTATCACTAACGGGTCGTCCACAAATATCAATATTTTTTAGAAGATATTCATTTGTTTGGGTGGGTGTGGGGGGGGGGGGGAGGGGGGGGGGGGGGTGGTCCTTCCGCTTCCAAACAGGACTTGAACCTGGTACCCTCTGTTTCTCAATCATGGTCTTAGACCATCCCACTATGTCTGCCTGCCAAATATGCTAAACCAGCCCCAGTAAATTATTTCAACATGTAGGTGACTGAAGAGAAAAAATCAGCCAGAATATTGGCCCATGTCATTGTGTAACTGTTACGCGCCCGATAGGTAGTGTCCAACCGAAGGGAAGACTAGTGTGGCTTTGATTTTTCACAAAATTTATCTTCATAGATCAGCTGCACTGTACCCAATGATACAGTGATGGATGGAGACAGTATGCTCAGTGATACAGCGATGTAGACAGTATGCTCAATGATCCAGCGATGTAGACAGTATGCTCAGTGATCCAGCGATGTAGACAGTATGCTCAGTGATACAGCGATGTAGACAGTATGCTCAATGATACAGCGATGTAGACAGTATGCTCAATGATACAGCGATGTAGACAGTATGCTCAATGATACAGCGATGTAGACAGTATGCTCAATGATACAGCGATGTAGACAGTGCAGTGGCGTCGGAAGGTGATTTAGTGTGGTACGGTCAGCCATGCATCTGAAGTACAGTTTACTTGTTGGGAGGGTTTGCTCTGCTGAACACTTTAGAGTCCGAATCAGTGCATTTGTTTAATTCACGGGGTGCCTGGGACAAAGAGCGGTACGGTCAATACCGTAGTGGCCGTAGCATGTCCAACGCCCCTGCAGTGTCTGATGCTACAGTGATGGAAAGTGTGCTGCTCAGTGATACAGCGATGTAGACAGTGTCTGATGCTACAGTGATGGAAAGTGTGCTGCTCAGTGATACAGCGATGTAGACAGTGTCTGATGCTACAGTGATGGAAAGTGTGCTGCTCAGTGATACAGCGATGTAGACAGTGTCTGATGCTACAGTGATGGAAAGTGTGCTGCTCAGTGATACAGCGATGTAGACAGTGTCTGATGATACGAGGGCTAGCCTTGTACTTATCTAATATAATATTTACTATAATGCCGGCCCAATGATACATGTACATGTACCACAGTGCTGGCCAAGGACAGCCTAATCCCACCACTCACGTCAGAACTGCAGAGTGAGTTGAATGATGGATGCGACGTGCCCTGAGCTGGGTTGCACAGCTGCAGGGAGTCAGAGGCTGCTCCACTCGGGGTCCACAAACTGACAAAGCGCACCAGTGGATGGGTAGCCTTGGTAATTGTGCACTAACTGGGATGTGCGTGTGTGTGTGTGTGTGTGTGTGTGTGTGTGTGTGTGTGTGTGTGTGTGTGTGTGTGTGTGTGTGTGTGTGTGTGTGTGTGTGTGTCAGCTGTGTGGTGGATACCAGGCTAAAATTAGTGGCGGTCAATTCATCAGCCTTGCAAGCTGTTGAATGGTGTAATCCCAGCACTAGTTGCTATGTATAATATAGCTGTTCGCTATCATTGCTTCTGCGATGGGCAGGTCTGAGGTGTGTGTGTGTGTGTGTGTGTGTGTGTGTGTGTGTGTGTGTGTGTGTGTGTGTGTGTGTGTGTGCGTGCGTGTGTGTGTGTATGGTGTGTTTGTGTATGCGTGTGTGTGTGTGTGTGTGTGTGTGTGTGTGTGTGCGTGCGTGTGTGTGTATGGTGTGTTTGTGTATGCGTGTGTGTGTGTGTGTGTGTGTGTGTGTGTGTATGCGTGTGTGTGTGTGTGCGCGCGCGCTATGTGTGTGTTAACAGATCCTGTGTTTACATGGTTACAGGTGAGTGAGAGCAGTGCATGGTTATATTGTTGGCACACATACTGTTTTGAAGTACCTGATTCACTGAAGGCTATTTTAGAGGTGGCATATCATGCATACAAACAGACTCACTTGCACAACACGGTCTAAACACATGTAGTATTGGAGAGGAGATAACCTGGTCAGTAGTTGTCAATGTGTTCACATTCACATGTAGGAGTATGGGGCTAAACCCGCTGTCCAACAGTACATCTGTCTTTTTAGAGTTTGTGGGCAGGCACGGGTAACTTGCTGTAATTAAACAGAGTGTGTCTATGCAATTGTGCTCTGTGGCCGCCTGACTCTTTGCAGGCAATGCGGAGTCACATTCAGAGAGAGGACCGGTGCACTCAGGAAGATGCTGAAAAGCATGGCCGAGTTTGGTGAGTTCTGGCTGCCCAGTTCCTCCCTACACAGTACATGGCATTTAAAAAAAATATAATTAATTAATTATGCAGCCACATTCCAGGTACTGTAAATACACAAAATTTCGACATTTAGGCAGTGATTTATTTTCGGCACGGGGTCCATACTAGTGCATCCCCAAAAGTCAATGTGAACACTTTCATCAGCGTTTAAATTTCTGTGTTTTGTGTCATAGCTGCTGAAATTTTGTATATTTACAGTTCATGTATCAGGTATGGCTGGAACAAATGTTGCTGAGACATATGCCAGGGTCCACTCCACGTATAGACCTGTGCACTTGCTGGTGGAGTTGTCATGCTTTGCTACCATTAGAAATAATTATAATTATGTACCCTTCCATCCGTTTCTTTTCATGCAGTTTTTGTGACTGCTCCCCATGCGATTCCTGGTAGTGAAGACTTGGGTAAGAGCTTTCAAATGAGTACTGCAATTTCAGACGTGGTTCGTGAATCACGCCACATACTGGATCTGTTCTTTCTTTCCATCAGGTTGACTAGTTTGTCTTGCATGTTATCTTCTTGTAATGTGTGCTGTCATGTGTGTAAATTCTGTCATCAGCGAAGCTATGCTTTTACATTGACATGCATCATCTATGCTCTATTTTCAAAACTCTGCCCTGTTTTCTTCTAGAAGTTTGCTGTTGCAACGTGGATGCCGTATTGCTCTTGCCATTGTTGTTTTCCTTGCACAGAAATAGGCAAGCAGTATGGCTGGTGGTTTTCTGACTCGTCCTGTTATGACTGCAATGCGGAGACATGTGTTGATATTGGCTTCGATGATTCGGTGGAGTTTTTGCGCCGTGTCCTGAAAGAGCAGGTGAGTCGTTCTTTGCAATGGTATCTGTGTGTGTGTGTGTGTGCGTGCATATGTGCATGCATGCATGTGTGTGTCTGTGTGTGTGTCTGTGTGTGCGTGCATGCGTGTGTGTATAGAGGGGTGTAGGTGTTGTGGTACTCTGGGAAGCCCTCCAGCACACAGGTGCACTAGCTCTGGCTGGTCAGTACGCTCTCCTCAAGTTGAGTTCAGCATATTGGGTTCTGATTTGGCGATACTCCTCTAACTCGGAACGTCTGTTTCCCTGTTTCTTCTTTTTGTGTTCCAGGGTCCGTTTGATGGTAAGCTATGTGTGTTTTGTGGCTGCCGAACAGGAGGAAGGAACCTGTTACCCTGTCTTTTCTTGCCATGGACTATGTTGTGCAGTTTCGAATCACAAAGCACACGTGTGGCCAGTTAGATACTTGTTTGGTGTCCACGATGTACACCATGTCCACGATGTACAACACTAATTACTGTGCAATTACTTCACTACTACCTGACTGCTCGAGTTGTACAGTCAATCTCGGGAGGAACGACCCCGGGTATAACAACGACAGCTCGTGAATAACGACACAATCTTTATATTTGCAGTGACCACTTTACTGCATGCTTTTAACAACTCACGGATAACAACAGCTCACGAATAACTACAACTCACGGATAACAACAGCTCGTGAATGACGACACCCTTCTCATGCCCAGCCGGGGGTTGTTATACGCCAGTTTGACTGTACTTTGAAGTGTATCAATCTGCTCCACTCGTATGCTCTGCTAGCAAAATTGAAAAGCAAAGTGCTTAGCCATAATTATATTGAAGGAGAATGCCTTTTTGATAGTGATGTGCTCATGACAATCAGTGGCGGTGTATGGTTCTTTGTGTTGAGAGTATAGCTCGCTGTAGTTGTGTAAATATGGCTCTGGTGGATTTCTTTGACTGTGTTTGTTTGTTTGTTTGTTGTGCCAGGTGTACTAGCTTTCAGCCAGGGTGCATCGTTTCTGGGCATGCTGTGTAGAATGCAGATGTCTGAACCAGGTACGAGTAGTACAGTGCGTTTGTATGTGCATATCCGGTACATAATGATAGTCATAATGCACGCGTACCCATACTCGTATTATACAGTAGTTTGCCGGTGTGTAGTAGGAGATTGCCAATGGCCTTTCAACAAACAGTCATTGAACTAAAAAGCACAACGAGCTGAGTTGTCGTTGGATTTTTTGTTTCGGTCTGTAGAGCTGGCTAAGTGTATGCCCTAGCTAAAAGTATATCCATTGTCCTCTGCCATGCAGTCGGTGTTGAAATCTTGTTGGATGTCCTGTTTTACTTGCTACCCTATGCAGAAGTCTTCAATTTCAAGTTTGTTTTGCTAGTCGCTGGCTTCCGCTCACTACAAGAGGCTCACCAGCGCTACTACAGTGCGGCCAAGATGACCATTCCAAGTCTGCATATGATCGGCGACACCGACAAGGTTATAGTATCCTGTAAGTGTGTGTGTGTGTGTGTGTGTGTGTGTGTGTGTGTGTGTTTATGTCTGTTGGTTTGTTTTTCGTCTCTCTGTCTGTGTCTATGTCTGTCCATCTGTCTGTCTTTCTATCTGTCTGCCTGCCTGTCTGTCTATTTGTGCACGCTATTGCTCTCGTGTCTGTATTTTGTCCAGGCATGTGCTAGATCTCCAAATCTTCTGTCCATCCGTTGCGATCTGGCCTGCACCTAATTACATGCACGCTGTATCAGTGTGCGCTTTGTGCTCATGCTCCTATCCCACTACATGTAGTTAGGCATGTGCTTTCCAATACATGCATTCCTTTCTAGAACAGTTTGTTTAGAATCCAGCCCTGGCTCGGTAGCCTGGATCCATCAATTCAGATCGGTTCTGATTTGGAAAGAGAGGAAGGAAACTTTCATAACGACTATGAAGTAGCTGGGTGTGCTATGGAAATCGTTCTTGCTAGTTTGGACAGGAATTTTCTTTAGTTGTGTTTTCGTACGTTCTGACATCGTCCTTGCATGCCATTCCTTTCCTCTTTTTCCCCCTTTCTCCAGCACGTAGCGATGAGTTTGCGGAAATGTTTGAAAACCCGGACATCATTCGACATCCCGGAGGTGAGCTCCAGCTCTGCTTCTTTTCCTGATATTGGTTCTTGCATGCTAGTCTGTCGTGTTTGTGTGTGTGTGTGTGTGTGTGTGTGTGTGCGTGTGTGTGTGCATGCACGCGTGTATGTGTGTGTGTGTGTGTGTGTGTGTGTGTGCGTGTGTGTGTGTGCGCGTGTATGTATATATGTGTGTGTGTGTGTGTGTGTGTGTGTGTGTGCCAGCTAGTTCGGTTGGTAGGTACACTTATGCCTGATTGTGTTGGGTCTATTGCCAACAGGCTCGGCTGCTTGAAGGTGTAATGTTGTACCTGCCACCTTTGTTGGTTCCAGGGCTCATATACTTTCTATTTGAAGTATACATACCTGTTAACCATGGACTGCTTCTGGCTAGATTAACTCTTGTGTAATCAATGGTACTAGTGAAGCTTTCATCAGATCCACTCTGATGTAGCCACTCACACTACAGTCCATTCAGAAAAAGATGGACTTCTAGCTTTTGGCCATAAATGGGTCAAACTTTGAGTTTTTTTAGAATTTTTTTGGCAATCCCCTATGGAATCCTCTTCCAATTATGTTTCTGAAGTTTGTTTGTCCAAGAAGCAAGCCATAGCAAGAATAGGATTTCGGCCAGGTTTTGCCCCAAAAGCACTGAATTGGGAAAAACCATCAAAATCCAGGCCGTTTGACCCCGCCTGCAACAGTGCATTCTGCAGTTCGAACCCCAGTTTAGGCACCCTTTTTGGACCCTTTTTTCAAATTTCAAAGTTAGCAGCACTGCACTGTGTACGATGAAATCACGAAAAATCGCCAAATACGGGAGCTCGCCAGAGCCAGGCCCATCTTTTTATGAATGGACTGTAGTAGCAAGTATTACCTTCACTGGGGGCAGGGGTAACTGCAGTTGGATCCCGGGACGGATACCCTGATGCCGTCAATCCTTTTTCTGCACCTTGTCCTCGCCCACTTACTGAGGTGTGGTGAGCCCATAAGTGGGATCATTTTTAAGTCCACCCAGAGTTTTGGGGATTTCAGGGGGTGTCGGCCGTTGGGCGGTTCAATAGCCAATTGAGGAATCTTTCCAAGATTCCTTTTGAGTCTCTCTCCCCTCTCCCGGGGGGACTCACGTGACCAGTTTTGGCAGTGAGCAACAAGTACAAGTACAGTGTGTGTATGTGTGTGTGTGTGTGTGTGTGTGTGTGTGTGTGTGTGTGTGTGTGTGTGTGTGTGTGTGTGTGTGTGTGTGTGTGTGTGTGCGTGTGTCGAACGAGAAGAGCTGCTGTAGTCAAAATAAGCACCTGGGCCGTTGGTGCTTATAAGATGTCCTGTAAGTTGCTCACTGGCCTGCTAGTTTGAGCCGGGGAGTTTTAGGTAGTATGATACCATGTTGTGTTACTCCCTGGGTGCAAAACTCAGGCAAAGTAGTAAGTTTAAAAAATGTACACTCGCTCCTGGTTTTTGTACTCAAGTAACACCAGCTCTGAGATTCTGTCATTGCCACAGATTCAGCCTCTATTCTCTGTGCACTACTATTTTTCACAGTGGCATGAGCCATTGCAAAGGGATAGCTTTGCTTTTCCGCGTTACCCTGAGAATCTGTGATCGGGTGAAAGAGTTGCTGCCCACAGACATGACTATTACTCTACAAGTATGTTATATAGCGTGGTCTGCCAGTAAAAAGAATGCTGCTGTGCTTTATAGAGAGACCGCTGACTTATGGTCTGTGTGTTATCTGTTGTATTTATTTCCATGTCCTTGTTGCAGGTCACTTCATTGCTGCCTCCTCTGCCCAGAAAGACGGCTTTAAATCATTCCTGAAACGGTTTGTCTAGCTTGACCATTGCGAATAGAACTATAGCGGAATCGGCTTTTCATTTTTGCATTCGGTGCTGACTGTTAGTTTGGCAGCGATTCGCTGGTTTGAAGTGATTGGCAGGCAGTACGTCTTGGCCCGGTATGAATTGCTGTGAAGTAGCCAACTTGCCTTGACCTATCACGTTATCTGCGCTATTGCCTTGGTCTGGGACTACGCTATTGCCTTGGCCTGGGACTGTGCTGATGCCTTGGCCTGGAATCACCGGGCTATTGTACCGCTGGGCTACACCTTGGCATTGGGTGACATGTTCAACAGCCTTCTCGATTTGCGATGGCTTCCCAGTGAGGTAACGCTGTGGTCTGCTGCTACTGCAGCAGCGACCCTACTCCAAGTCCCGGATATGATTAGCAATGCTTGCATTGTCGACCAGCACTGCAGTCCTTCCGTTGAGGCCGTGTTTTCACTTTTCACACAGTTCGAGCATTCCAGCTGAGTCACAGTTGAGCTCTGCTCGTACCAAAGACAGACTGCGCCAAACGAGTGTGGTCTCCGTGCATTTTCAGCATCGGCAGAAGAACCGCTCGCACTGCTGTAATGCATACGCATATATTTATGCTTTTCGCTCACTGGTATGAAATTGTTATTGATTCTCTAGTGAGCAATGACACCTCAGCCGGTCTTTATAGTGACAATCCTACATCACGTCGTGGGATGCATCGTGGCTCTCTCTCTCTCTCTCTCTCTCTCTCTCTCTCTCTCTCTCTCTCTCTCTCTCTCTCATTGAGTGAGTCATTGTCGTTCATCACGTGTCCTCTGATCATCCTTTTTTTTTTCTTCTGGCTTGATTCTCTGCTGCAAAGTTTCTTGGTCCCCTCCGGTTTTGATCATTTTGACCCTTAGCTGAAAACTTACAGAATGGGTGAGTTTCTGTCAATCTCTTTGCCATTGTGTCTGTCAGCAAGTCATTACATGGAACTTGTCTGAGTATGATTGTCGATGATGATGATGATGATTCTCTCACTGAGTGCGATCCAGACTAAAGTGACTGTTGTCCTGTTGTGGCGAGTGTTGCTTGAAAGTGCTACGTCACAGCCTGCCACTGAGGAGTCATGACAGCGCTGACTTTTGGATCCATGGAAGTTTTTAGTATCCGGGATCCGTACACGTTTGAGTGCATAGCTTTCTTTCACATCATACTGCCACATCCAACGGTATAGAGCTTATGCGAATGATGCCATGGAGCTGAGTCAGCGGAACCTCTGATGGGCACTATGACATAGTGTATGCAGCATGAGTCGCTAGTGCAGCTCCGTGTTGCGACTTTGCCGCCAAAGCATTTCAACTGATGATGCAATCGCATAACCTTTATAGTATACCCGGTAGTGACTGGACTGTCACTGGACTGTCACTGGACCCTCCCTATCTGGACCCTCCCTATCTCCTACCAATTCCTGCACTCGCTCTCAGGTATCTTCGTCTGTCACTCTACCAAAAGCTAAAACTCGTTTCGGTCTCTTTTCAGCTTCTTTCATCGGTTCCGACCGCTGGAATGTACTCCCCACTGCAGTCCGCTCATGCTCTTCACTGCACCTATTCCGTAATTCAGTACTTTCATTTCTAGGGTACCCTGTAAGAAGGCCTTAGGCCTGTGGGGATTGCCCTATCAAAATTTTGATAATAATAATAATAATCTGCCAAACGAGTCTGATATCAGCTTGGTACCAGTGAGTGGTCACCAGGGAGTAGTACAATACAGTCGTCCCTCTCTAATCCGGCACTTTATAATCCAGCACCCTCGATAAACCAGCACAATTTTCAGTAGCCAAATGTTTCTTCATGCACATTGCAGCAGTAAATCAGATTTGTTAATCCAGCACCCTCCCTAATCCAGCAGATTTTCGTGGCACAAATGGTGCCGGATTATAGAGGGACCACTGTAGTACCTGTAATTGCCAGTTATGGCTGCATTCAGTGTACTACTCCCTGGAAGTACCCAAGTGGGAACAGTGACTTTAATTTTTTTAAATTTTTTACTTAGTAAGCACACAGCCTACTCCTCAGAAGGGGAGGAGACAACAAATTATACTATAAGTATAACAAAACAGCAGGGAGAGTAGGGGCTGCAAAGACTTATCAGATATCTACAAGTACAATTGTGATAAGGACTGTACAGTCATGTACATAATTCTTGCCAACCGCCAAGCTTCGAAGAGCCTACACACCAGGGAGTAGTGAAAATGGTATTCCCTCAAGCCTGCTAGACACAGTCACACACTACATAGTCATCATGGTCATTGACATAACATTCGTCATTGTTTGTAGCACGTAGATCTACTACTACTACTACTTAAAGGGGAATTAAGGCAAAAATCAAAATTTCACCAGTTGTAGTCTTCGGGGTGCTGAGTCGAATGGTCTTGGTCCGAGAAAGCTGAGACGCTCCCTTCCTACTTGAATCCCAATCGAACTCGCGCACTTCCACCGAAACTGGGTGACTGCGCCCTACGAGATGGGGATTTGTATGCAAAATGTCACTAAAAGCGCCATTTCGTTCTTATAAAAGCACGGATGACGCGATTGGCCCATATGTTGTAGTCTTTTGGACGCTGAGTCGACTGGTTTTGGTCCGAAAGGCTGCGATGCAGCGTTCCTCCTTTATTCCCAATCGAACATGGTTGAAGAAGCGGTCACGTGCTCCTGGGTGCCAAAATCACCTGGTCACCACGCCAGCAGGCGACAACTTTCACACCAAGGTTCAACTCGAGTGACAGGACTGCACCCAAAAAAGGTCAAAACAGGCTGTAAGTTGTACCCTGCAGGCACGGTGACCAGGTGACTGGTGTACGCAGGAGCACGTGACCGCTTGTTCAACCATGTTCGATTGGGAATTAGGGGCGAACGCTGCATCGCAGCCTTTTCGGACCAAAACCAGTCGACTCAGCGACCAAAAGACTACAACATATGGGCCAATCGCGGTCATCCGTGCTTTTATAAGAACGAAATGGCGCTTTTAGTGACATTTTGCATACAAATCCCCATCTAGTAGGGCGCAGTCACCCAGTTTCGGTGGAAGTGCGCGAGTTCGATTGGGATTCAAGTAGGAAGGGAGCGTCTCAGCTTTCTCGGACCAAGACCATTCGACTCAGCACCCCAAAGACTACAGTACAACTGGTGAAATTTTGATTTTTGCCTTAACTTCCCCTTTATTTAATGTGTCTACGCCGCTGACTAGCCTGTCGATGACTCCGAGTGACTCTGCAGAGTATGACCATGACCATGATAACTCTGCCTCTGCGCCCGGTTTTTTTTAGTTCACACTACTGTACTTGGTAGCTCCACCGAAGAGGTGTGCGGTCTTGCTGCATCGGTAGTACGAGTGGAGCAGAGTTACCGTTGCCAGGAAAACTGAAGATTTGATGCTCTGCATTTCCACTACCGGGTCGAGTCTGGCCCGAGGAACGGCGCAGAGCTAATGACCTACCTACAAAGTACCTGGGAGGCTGGTTCGGTGCGCAAACGCTGATGGAAATAGACGCTGCTTTCGCCTAGTGAGTGTAATTTCGGCCTGACTCGTGTGCGCTCGATGTATCATCAAAGATTCAAAGCAACAGAATACCGCAATTATTTTCCTTCGACTGGCTTTGCCGCGAGGCTGCACAGTGTAAATCTACCCGGTAGATGGGCAGAAACTGAGAAAGTAAAAACTGCCTACAGTACAGGTACAAGTTACTAGGTAGTTTACTGTTGCAAATGCAGGAAGTCAACTGTGGACGTGCAGGACGAAGGAGATTGCTCTAGCCTTCTTATCTAGGCTCAGTTCAGTTTCGCGGGCTTGCTGCGCGACGAATAACAGCTGGTAAGAGTCCACAATACAGTCCTGCAGTACAGACAGTCGATAACTAACTAATACTTGGCTTAGGTAGGGAAGTAGTTAGGGTATCACTGTCACTGAGCGATGATCAGAGTGACACCGTGGTGCCGCAAAGCTGCACAGCCAGTTTGCAGGACTGCTTTACCCAGAGTAGATCAGACAGACTCAGTACACACTCTCAATGCCATGGTTGAGACAGTACACACTCCCAATGCCATGGTTGAGACAGTACACACTCCCAATGCCATGGTTGAGACAGTACACACTCCCAATGCCAAGGTTGCATTTCACTGGCCATGACTGTACAAGTGTGCAGTCGTAGTGGACTAGCTTGTCGACATGTGCATTTGTTGGGCTACTGGCTTGATGTTTATGCAGCCATCATGGTACATCAACGTACCTGTATTCATAATCCGTGTTTCCTCTGGCAGATCCGGTTTGCAAGATGGCGGATTTTAGAGTTGCCGGGCAATCGGTGGTCGACACCAGAGCAGAGGAGAGCAATGGAACACCAGCTGACATGCTGACACGAACCAAGGAAAAGAATGCAGTGACGATACCCACGAAGAGCACGGAGAAGCACGCGCCACCGAAGCCCGCCACTAGAAGTGGCAATGCGATGCCTGCAAGCCGTACTGCCCGTGCAAAAGCGACGTCAAGCACCAGTGCGGTCGAGGAAAGCGGCGAGAAGAAGCAGCAAGCTGACGGTGGCGATTCAGCGGTGATGTCATCAAAACGCTGGCCGTTACTAGTGGGCGAGGGCAACTTGTGGCAAGGTGAGTGCGACTCCTTGTCCAGCGCAAGCAGCAGTCCACGCAGCTCAGGCACCTTGTCCCGCGCCAGCTCACCCGACCTCGTGGCATCCCCGGTGACGCTAGAACAGCGCACGCTTCTGTCATCCTCACCGTCCGTAACAAGCTGGGAATATTCATCAGAGTCTGACCGGTCCGTAACATCATCACCTACGTTCATCATTGCCACCACTGGATCAAAGTCAAGAGCACCTAAAAAGTCAAGAGTTTCAGCAAACGTGAAGTCCCAGCGACCTCCACCGAGGCGAGTGAGCAGATTGAGTGCTGCATCAATGCTTGATGCAACGGGAATGGCAGTTAACAATTTTCAGTTCACGGATTCCGAAACTGAATTCGTTCCGTCCCCGAACCCAAGGTTATCGGCTGGAGGCACACGGCGGACGTTATCTGACTGTAGCTATGTAAGTGGCAAGCCGACAGAGGACGATGATATGTATTCAGATGACGATGGCTACACCACCTCCCGGGTGAACTTGAAAAGCAAATCAAAACAGGCGGCAAAGAGACGGCTTGAGAGAGCCAAGGATCAACAGAAGAAGATGGGGATCAAAAACAAATCGAAACAGAAGGCAGCATCTAAGAAGGTGAGTGCAGATCTCATAATCGTGGTGGCCTCTGTACAGATGTGGTGATTCTAACCAGGCATGGGGTGTTCATGTGAGATGCTGTTGTGAACACCTATCTATAATGGTTACAGGCAGCTGAAACTCTGATCACGTGTCCCAATTTCCCTGGGAGTGCACAAAGTGACGACGTCGAACATCATCGATGTTTCCTACTTCAGTAAAGATGAAATCGTTGCCAACCAATCCGCTGTATGGTGGGGCTGCTTAGAATAGGAGGTTGAAGCGCTACAACTGTAAATCAAGAATTTGTTGGGGTGTTCGATTTCGAGCAATTCAGTCCAGACTGATCTTTCATCCGAGAGTAGGTCTTGTAGGACTGCATCAAAACCAACCAGTTAGTTGATTCGTATGCGAAAGATTCTGCTTGTCATGATGGCCTGAAAGTAGGTTGTCCTTTCCGAAGCCTTTTCTTATCTGAGTTTTACTGCATCATTTTTCCTGTATTTGTACTGTCACAGCTGGAGCAAGAGGATCTCCTGGCGGTTCTGCCATTCAAGTTGGCATTCTATCTTCTTGGTTTTCTTGACATCCGTAGTATTCGGGACTGTCTGCTGGTCAACCGATTTTGGCACACGGTTGCCACGAGAGTACTTCTGAATCGAAGGCGGAGAAAGCATGTACCAGGAGTAACTGCCGTAATCCGCGTAAGTTTCTTGAGCTCTGTTGGCAGTTCATGAATTCATCAATACGATATAGCACAGTATTCATTGGTTTGAGGGAAAGATGCAAACGGGGAAAAGTCTGAAGCGAAAATAGCACAGTAGTCATACTTTCCATTGCTTGCATTGTAGCCCAGTGGTAACAGTACGGTATAGCCCAGTGGTTATGCTGTAGCCCAGTGGTTATGCTGTAGTACAGTGGTTACATTGTAGCCCAGTGTCTGTGAGTGCAGGTGT